AGATTTATAAATTTAACAGATACTATATTTAGTAATAGCAAGATAAACTTTTAGAGAAAAGATTTAAACACAACTTGCCCCAACATAATAATCAGAAAACTTGCTAACAATATCGAAAAAAGTATAATTGCAAAATCTATTACAGATGTGTGTAGTGAAACCAAAAATTCCTGTTACAAAGAAAATAAAACGGTAATTTCAATTAAAAATAAATCAATAGAAAACAACATAGTGTTTACAAAAGCAGACAAAGGTAACACTACTACTGCTATAGATAAAATAGAATATAATAAAACAATAGAATTTTTAAATAATCAAAATATTGAAACGCTACACAAAGATCAGATAGAAAACTATCAAAAACAAATTAAGCTAGCGTTAGAAAATTCAAATCAATAGTAAATCCAACAGAACAGAAATTATACTCTTTCATTAAACTATACAAACCGGATCACCCAATAAGACCTCTAGTTTCTTTTTATACAGCTCCGTCATATAAACTGTTACGAGAATATTTTAGAACACATTAAATTTCCATCTAAATTTACCATAAAAATACAATAGAACAAGTTAAAAAATACAACATTTTCAATTACCTAACAACTCCAGATTAATTTCATTTGACGTAAAAAATCTTTTTCCTAGTATTCCTCCTACAAAAACTTTTATTCTAGTAAAAAACCTTTTAGGCCAAAATAGTACAAATCCAATCATTACATCTGAAATTTTATATCTTCTTGAAGTTTGCATAAACCAGGACTACTTTGAATTTAATAATCAAATATATACAAATATCAGTGCAGGACTTTTAATGGGCAATCCTCTAAGCCCATTGCTGTCAGATATTTTTATGGATCATCTAGAGACAAAGATTTCAAAACATCCCATAATCAAACAGTTTATATATTGGTGGAGATAAGTAGACGACGTACTGGTATGTTTCACAGTAACTAACAGGCAACTCGACCAATTTTTATCTTATATTAATTCACTTCACAGTCATATTGAATTTACAATAAAAACAGAACAAAATCAATTCATAAATTTTTTAGATTTAAAAATTGTCAAACTTAAAAATAAACATGACTTCCTCATATTTCATAAACCCATCCATACTGACACGACTATACACAATTCATCATCTCATCCCACAAAACATAAACTGGAAGCCTATCATAGTATGTTACATAGATGAACAGAAATTCCGATGTCAAAATACAACTTTGAGACAGAATTAAATATCATTAAGCAAATAGCAGTAAACAACGGATACAACAAGCAAACAATTAATAAAATGTTAAATCAAAAACTACACAAGAAAGCCATGAAATTAGTATTTCCACCACCAGAGAAAAAACCCAGTACTTTCTGCTCGATTACATATACAGGCAAAATATTAACACAAATAGCCAAACACATGAAAAAAAAAAAAGAATAACACCAGCTTTCAGAACAAATTAGAACTTAGGCAAATATATTAACAACAAGAGCCAAAATAAAAAACACTTACACAGTGGTGTGTACAAACTTAAATGTGGCGACTGCATAAAAACTTACATCGGTCAAACTGGTAGAAATTTTAATAAACCAATAGCAGAACATAAAAGTTTTCAATAATAGAAAAACAGATTCTACATACGCAGTTCACCTTCTAGATCATAATCATTCTTTTATTGATGAATTTAAAACTCTTAACATTCAAAATAAAGGCCTTAAGCTATCTTTGTTAAAATCTATGGAAATCAACAAATTAAAAAACACAGATATAATTCTGAATGACCAACTTGAGACAAACAGTTCTCCCCTCCTCAACCTATTTCATTAGATACTAGTGTAAACACAAGCCAAAAATGAGGCACTTGAGAAAGGCAATCAGTCGAAACAGCTGTAGTGATAAGAGTTAAAATAAATTTTGTGGAAGTTTTGAAATCAAAGTTTTCAGTGTTTTATTGTTACATAATAGGACTGTAATTGTTAATAAATCTGACAGAAATGTAGAGCGACAATATAAGGTAAGTGTATTTACTTTTCTCTCTTTTTGACTATGTATGCATTTTGTTTTCATTTTAGAGGCTTAGCCTGACATTTTTGTTATCTTTCGTAAACTAATCTTATAGGTCTAGTGTCGAGTTTTCTTCGTCCCTCAATATAGGACTAAGTGGCGCCCTTTATTTTCCCCCTTTCTTTCAGTACCAAATTCTGTTATTTCCATTGGTACGTTTGGTACGTCTTGCAAACAAGAGCGCCGGTTTGCAAGACGAATATACTTGCACCTGGGTCCCTCAATGCTCCATAACCTCAACGGTTATGGAGCATTGAGGGACCCAGGTCTTAGGTTATATAGATATTTAATGAAAGAATTGCCGTCTTACAAATAGTTTTCATTTTTAACGAATTAGTAGGTATTTAGAGGTTACTGAGCATAGGCATATTGTCTCGAAATTATATTTCATTAGGTTAAAAATATTAAACTGTAATAACATAATAAAAGGGTAAAAAAAAGTAAAAAAGAATTACAAAAATGAAATTTTTTGATATAGGTACAAATTAATGTCACACAAATACATAGATACTTTAAGAAGATTATTATTATTCCACAGAAAATGACAGACGCAGTCCTCAAACCTAAAATTGTAAGAACTTATAATAACTCGAGAACGACTTAATCGATTTAGCTAATTTTAATTTTGAAATATTTGTAGATGTCCAAGGAAGTTTTAAAAGGTGAGAAAATGCGAATTATACGATTCCCCGGCGAGGAGAAATTTTTAAATCCATTATAATGAAATATAAATAATGATAATCAAAATGAAGCAGTTGAGCATAAATACAAAATAATAATGAAAATGTAAATGATGAATAAATTCTATATTATATTTAACAAATTTTGAAAATGACTAGAAATTATTAAACAAAATTTTGAAAGAAAATAATTAAGATTTTAAATTTTAAAGAATTTAAATACGTTGCCCTATTATAAAAAAAAAACGTGTAATGTTATCATTAATAAACCCACATATAAAGTGTTTTCCACCTAAGAAGACCGCTTTGCAATTAAATGCTGGTAACTTCATAACTAACGGACCAGATAAGCGGCGAGATATTTTACACTACCTTTATGAATAACATTTTACTGCTGTGTTGTTTCAATCAGCACTGCCCAACAAGTTATCGTTTATTGGTTTAAATATTTTATTGCAATAGTACGAGTACGGAATATTTATTTAAACAGTGAATTTATTACATGTTAATTTTTTTGAAATTTCTTCTGACGTTGAAAAATGATTCATGCTATTTAAAAATATCTTTCTGTTAACGACACTGTTATCGATCAAAATCAAATTCAAACTTGTCATCATATTACAGTTCTGTTTATCGTTAAAAATTAATTGATGGTCGTGGGTTGTATTGGTGTTATTTAGTAATTTAGCAAAATACATAATCAGCAAAAATTTTATTTAAAACATGATAACAGTTTTTGCAATCACAATCAATGCAGTGTTTATGCTTGTTTAGCATTGGCTGCTAAATAATTTGTGTTAGATTGTTTCGTCTATTGTACAAACCTCGTCCTTTTTAAGGTGTAGTTGTATATAAGTACCTATTTTTTATAGTAGCGTAGTGAAGCGGTACTTTAAAGTAAAATAAGTAATTTGGAAGAAAATAAAATACAGTCAAAACTTCAAGTGTTATCTCCCGAAGAACGGCGTTTAGTACTGAAAGTCGAAAGTTATTTCAATTCGGAAAAAAATAATATGGGTCCGTTGACATCTGTGTGCGATGTTTTAGTTAAACGTTAAAGTACCTTCGGTCTTATTACGGGACTGCATACTCTCAATAGCTTTGGTATTAATTACTGGACTGTTAAGTTAAAAACACGTGTTTAAATATTTCGATTTGCTGAAAACTCAGAAGTGATTTAGTGCTAATTTGTTTCAATGTTATATTTAAGACAGTGTCTACAGAAAGTAAAATCTTGGATGTATTGTACTAAAATTTGGACATACCAGCAACCTGGCAAGTATTTTCCAATTTTACTACATGCAAAACCATTAGTATAATTTTCACTCTACGCAAAATAGAGACTTATTGAGACCTTAATGAATATTTGATGTCGACAAATAATTTCGAGTATTCGAAATATTCCGTCCCACTTCTTTTAACACGCCCTGTATATACATATTATATTCATTTTATTTTCCTTGGATAAAGTAAAATCCAACATTATTAATGAACATAAAATACAGAAAATTAAATATTTTTACTTTTCAAGCGATCGGAATTAAATATTAACGCCCCACTGATCATATCTTAATTGCATATCGGCCATCATAGGGTAAAAGGACTATAGTAATAAGGTGCTAAAAGAAGTATTCACTTTTGTCGACACTTCCCAACGCTGTTTTTTATTTATATTTTTCGCACAATTTTTAAGTGGAAATCTAAACGTCGACAAATTTTAAAAATGTAATTTATTTTTATTACAATTAATTGTGACTTAATCCCATATAAACATAATATTTGTCTTTGATGATATAAAAATAAATTCTGTTTGTTTTAAATTTTCTTTAAAAAATATATTTTTTTAAAATAAAGGAAACTTTTATATAACGGTGTCGCCCATCTCTACACCAAAAACGATAACTGATCCTTAAAAAACACTAAAATAATAATATTGAATCAATAGATTTTCTTCACCTTTAATGAATAAAAATATAATCAAACAAAATTAATGTCCGACTCTTTTTTTGTTTCATCTTATTTTTATTAATTTGACTAAGAGGTAGAATATCCAAGTTCTAGATATTAGAAGAGTTTTCTCAAATAGGTAGGTACAAAATTTAGCTTAGCGTAGCGGCATTTTCTAACACAATGGAACAAAATATATCCTAACCAGACGTTCGTAAGTTCGATATCAGCCGGTCTTTTGCGAAGCGACACCAACCGAATCGACACGAACCAGACCCAATGGAACAGCAAGAGTTGTTAGTTCGTGTTGTGGCGTTTCCTGCCTGAATTTTTGTCTATGCTTTGTGAATGTAAACCTAATATTGTTTTATAATGTTTTTAAGTTAATTAGTTATCATATAATTCGTAGTGAGTTTATATTATTAGTGAATCTTGTGGATATTTAAAATAAAATGTGTAAGTATTCAGAAATGTTGTACAGAATACAAACAGTTTATATTATTTCTCTGTCAAACCTCAAACCATAGGCGTACACACAAAAATGTTATCACAAAATTAGTGTTAGGTAAATAAACTAGTAATAGGCCAATAAAGTTAGGTTTTTACTCATCACAAGTGTATAGACGGGTTTGACAGTTGAAATAAGTAGTATGAGATATTACAAAAAGACTCTCATCTAGGGATTCATGAATTTTTTAGTGGAAATATTTTTAAATAAACAATTAAAACGTCAATATCATTATTTTGCTCATAACTTATAAACTTGTCTGTTTAGAGATTTGACGTCTACAGACAAGTTATTGAGAAAAAAGAAATACACAAAATGAGATATACTAAATTAAAATCGGTTAATAAACAAAAAAGTTATTGCATAATAACCAAGCAAAACGGCTGTTTTTGATTATTGTTAATAACTCTTTTAGTAATCAATAAAATTTATTTAAATGTATCTGAACTTAAAGACCTTATCGTGTTCGAAGTGTGTGCGAAATATAGGCTAGATCCGTCAAATAGTTTTGCACAATTTAATTTGTTTACAAGATTTTTTTGAAAAATGCACAAATTTCTAAGGCCGGTCCAGATAATTTGACTGAATGGATCTTAATAATCCGGGGCTTATTTTCTTTGTTGAGACATATATTAATATCCTATGGAAAAAAAAGTTAAAAAAAATTACGTTTAAGTATACACAATGATTTAACAATAAATAGCACTTTTTAAGCTTATAAACATTTACAATAACTCTGTACTATTTAGTTTAAATTAAATGGCAATAAAATATTCGGAAGGCTGGTTAAAAAACACAACTTTAAAAAAAAAGAAAAAGGTCCTGCGACCATTAGGAGCCGAGTTAGTACTTTTTTTTTTAAAAATCACTGTTACGGTCAATTAACAACATTAAGGGCTGAAATTAACCAATCTTTTAGAAGAAAAGTCAAAGTTTTTAACAAAATATTTAGCAAACAAAATAATTGAAAATTGATTAAACAGGAGTGTTGTAAACCAAGAGTACTTTACGCTCCGACTCAAATGGAAGGAGTGGGGATTGCCGATTGCACTCAAGCCACGCTCAAGCAGATGCTGTTAGGCTGCGACTATACAACCGGTTTGTTGTATTGAAATATTTAGTGTTTTGTTTTTTTAATAATTGTTACAAATAATTAATGTTACGTAAAATTCATCTGAATATTAAAAAAAAACTACCTGTTGTGATATATATTAATATAAACACATGGTTGTACCACGTTGTCTGAATAAAATACGGTTAACTTTGAATATAATATTATTTTACTATTATTATAAGTTTACGTGAAAATGAAACTATGATATTATTTATATGGAAAAATTATTAAATATTTCTATTTTTATTTTAAAACATGATATTTATTGTACTAAGAAAGATTTTAAACATTTAATTCAAAAATGTGAGTACACTGCTTTAAATTGTATACGAATGTATACAATATAATGTATAACTTTGAAAGTTAACCAATGAAATTTAAACGGATATTTAGATTTACAATTTTTTAGAAAAGATAACAAATGAATATATTAAAATATTTTCACGTTAAAATTATAAGATTGCATTTCAAATTTTATACGAATATTAATAAATTCTTATTATTGCAGTACTTATAGAAATAGGATTATTGCAGTATAGAAACATTTAATTGCTTTTTTTTTGGATTGGATTAGCGATACAAACTATTAAATTGGTAAGTAAGGGCCTTTCTATGATAATAAATATTATAATTAAACGTACTCCCTTTAAGATTTTATAAAAATAAAATTGAAAAATATTCAGCGTAGAAATTTTATAAATTAAAGTCACGTAAAAAAAGTTTGATATTTCACTTATTATTGAAGATGAAAGTGAAGATGAATGTTTACATAGTAGTAGCAGTGACGATATAGAAATTAAGCGTAGAAAATTACAGTAAATTAAATTATTTTAAAAAACACTACACAAAATTTCAACTTCTGTAATAACAAAAAATTAATTTATTATTTCATTAATAAATTTTTAGTAAACATTATTCAAAATGTTCATTTACTTATAACATTTATTTAATATAATCATATTTGAAATAAAAAAATAGAAAAATAACAATAAAAAGACGACTTAAGAAAAAGTTTGTACATTCCGTAGTCATTAGCTGCTTTGTTTTGAATAATTTTGCAATGAAAGTATGTTAAATGTTATTATTTTAACGTTGTACCCCAGTTTTAAAAAAAAAAAAAGAACAAATTTGGTCCACTAGAACCCGAGATATGTCATTTTTTTCCAAGCACTCTATTTTGAAACCGTGCGCTTGACTTTTTCAGAGAGCGCGGCTTGTGTGCAATCGGCAATCCCCACTCCTTCCATTTGAGTCGGAACGTAAAGTACTCTTGGTTTACAACACTCCTGTTTAATCAATTTTCAATTATTTTGTTTGCTAAATATTTTGTTACAAACTTTGACTTTTCTTCTAAAAGATTGGTTAATTTCAGCCCTTAATGTTGTTAATTGACGTAGCAGTGATTTTTTAAAAAAAAAGTACTAACTCGGCTCCTAATGGTCGCAGGACCTTTTTCTTTTTTTTTAAAGTTGTGTTTTTTAACCAGCCTTCCGAATATTTTATTGCCATTTAATTTAAACTAAATAGTACAGAGTTATTGTAAATGTTTATAAGCTTAAAAAGTGCTATTTATTGTTAAATCATTTGTATACTTAAACGTAATTTTTTTTAACTTTTTTTTCCATAGGATATTAATATATGTCTCAACAAAGAAAATAAGCCCCCGGATTATTAAGATCCATTCAGTCAAATTATCTGGACCGGCCTTAGAAATTTGTGCATTTTTCAAAAAATCTTATAAACAAATTAAATTGTGCAAAAACTATTATGACGGATCTAGCCTATCTTTAGCACACACTTCGAACACGATGAGATCTTTAAGTGCAGATACATTTAAATAAATTTTATTGATTACTAAAAGAGTTATTAACAATAATCAAAAACAGCCGTTTTGCTTGGTTATTATGCAATAACTTTTTTGTTTATTAGCCGATTTTAATTTAGTATATCTCATTTGTGTATTTTTTCTTTCTCAACAACTCGTCTGTGGACGTCAAATCTCTAAATAGACAAGTTTTATAAGTTATAAGCAAAATAATGATATTGACGTCTTAATTGTTTATTTAAAAATAGTTCCACTAAAAAATTCATGAATCCCTAGATGAGAGTCTTTTGTAATATCTCATACTATCCATTTCAACTGTCAAACCCGTCTATACACTTGTGACGAAAAAACGCTTATTTTCTACTAATTTGACTCGTCTATAATTTCTAAATTGTTTAGGTGAATAAACTTTAATTGCGAATCACAAAATCTTTTTAGGTTACGTTAGCCTTAATCAGACATTAAAAGTTCACAATAAACTGAATACTTTTACACTGCACACCACAGCTATTTCGCCTGTCGAAATTCTGTATCTTTCAAAGATAAATGTGCTTAGTTGCAAATCTAACTCAATCACTACTCATTGCAAATGACAAATTTCACCACTCAATGCGAATTTTCACATAAATTGACAAACATGCTGATCTTAGTAGTTACAAAATATTTATAATAAAAAGTATGCAAAGGAAATTCCTGTTCTCTATATTTTTGTACATTCAAGAAGAAAAATTGTCCATTGCCGATAACTAAATCTAAACTATTTTACACAATGCATCTGAAACGTTATTTGGTTAAAAAAAAAATCGTTTTAATAGTTTATTTTAGGCTAAAACTGCCTTTTTGAAGTTTATATTGATCGTGGACTGACGCTATAAAAAACTAAAAAATTATGTGCACTTCCAGATATTTAGTGTGTCAGTGCCCTAGCAAATGTTTTTAAAAAAATAAATATAATTATAATATTTATTGGAGAGATCAGCTGACAGTTTTATTATTGATACAGATTCATTATTATTTAATTCACCAATCTCAATTCTTTTATAATTGCACTTTGTTTCTCCAATCTTTTATATTACAATCCAGTAATTTTGAAAAGTTTGGTAATATTTTCATACAGGTTTTGCTGTTCAGTATTTTATTAACTCAACAGGAGTGTTACCTGGACTGACACTTTGTTTTCAAAGGATTCATTATTTTTAATTCTAAAAAAATGTCTCAATATACTATTGTTATTTAAAACTAAAATGATAGAAAGTCAGGTGGATTCTTTAACAATGAATGATTGTGTGTTTTTAAGCTGTGCCAATGTGTAATAAATGTGTTTACGATTAATTAAATTATAGTATAGAGGGTGATATCTGCCTTATTATTGATATAGGTTGGTTGCCTATTAGAGATTATGATTCTTGACATTTCTTTGCAAAAACCCTTAATGTATGGTAATGATATAAAGTTCTTGGTGTATTGAAAAGATTACTGTTATGTTTGTTTGAGTTTTCGTTGAGTTACTGATTTTAGGATTGTTGGTAAAATTATTAACAAAAAACTTCTTTTTTTAGTAAGAAGATTGTACAATTCCGGTGTTTAATTATTTTGTTCTAAATTATTTTTGATTTTTATTAGATTTTTGGAATGATATTGTAAATAGATAATGGGTCGGCATTATCAATGGAAAGTTTGCTCAGGCCATTATTTTTAACAAATAATTTTGGGAAAAACACAACATACTAATTATTAACAAATATTACTTGTATATAGATGCAAAAATAAGCAATTATTCACAAAATAATATGAATTGCAAAATGGGTATTACTAATGAAGGTTTAACAACACACAACCGAAAGTTTCAATATATTCAATTCAAGTCGATTCTCAAGTATTAGTTTCCTCACAGAATAATGAAACAATCAGAATGCCCTGCTTGTCAAGATAAGTACGCACATCTTGTTCGCACAGACGGAATCAGCCATGTTTTAAACGGAACCAGTGCTATTCAGTGAAATTTTATCGGTGTGCATAGAAAAATTAATCTAGTTTAATTGATTTACAGTTACCATAGACATAATATGCAATATTTTATGCCTTACTTTTAGTTGAAGAATAGATTAAATTATTTCAAATTTACAAAATCATTAATCTCTAAAAATTTAAATTATTGTTCTGTCTTAGCTTATGGCGATCGTATGCTGACACACTTCAAAGGCGCCATCTAAAAGTGGGCATTCTGATTGTTATTTATTCTGTGGTTTCATATTTTAGTTGATTTTGTAGGATATCCATATTCTTTAGAATCTTTGAAAATACTTAAAATAGACCACTTAGAGTGAAATGAGGGTTGACCTTGAATTGACTTTGTTTATGAATTTTGCACACAACTGACAAATAACTATATATAATGTAAAAATAACAAAACATTCTGGAACGCTGGAACATAATTATTCACTTACACTAGATATTTGGAAATGCCTGACAGCACAGTTTTATGACAGAAGGTTTTAAATAGAAAGAGATTATTGATAACTTTTTATCACAGTTTTTTACTAAAATTAATAAAATGACATAAGTACACATGAGCAATCCTTAAGCATTTAAGTGAAAATTGTTTGCCTCCTTGGTGGAGAAAAGAAGCACATACATTAGAGAGTTACCATAGAAAGAAAGAAAAATGTCAAGAAAATGTCATTTTTTATATACCTAAATAAATATATCATTATTTTCCAATTAGATAGCATCATTATTATATTTACCATTTCCTAAATAAATGACTATATTTTCTATTGGCTCTATTGTTTGTTCTATTATCATATCCAGAATTTTTCTACCTATGCTGTGACATGTATTATACCTTTTTGCAAATTGTTAGATGACATTTTTGATATTGTCATTTACGAGTTGGCTATAGCTTCATTGGCTAAGTTTAAATGTGATATTGTTTTTTTGTGACATAATCCTTCATTTGAGCCCAGATTAGGTGAATGGGATTACTTTCGTAATGATAAAGTGTTAATCCCAACACTGTAACAAGTTCTTTTGCTACCGCATTCACAGCATTCTTCTTAAATTTTGGTGAAAAGTAATTTAGATGACTGTAACAGCATTTTTAGAGCATTCTGCTTCCTTTATTTCTTTTCTTATTAACCAATCAATGAGCACTTCCTTTATCCAGTTACTATTGGGTAATGGTTCCCTTAATCTTGAATGGTAACTACCATAACTAACTCTCCATAATTGATTGGCCAGAAATGTGTCATTTGGTATCTTAATTCTTTTTTTCCATTCCTTTTTGTTTCTCGATCTCATTTTCATTTCTGTGTAGTTCATCCCTTTGGCTTTACCTGCTTTTATAATTGCATTTATCCAGCTTTTTGTTGCCCTCTTTTGTTTTCTTTACTCTTTTAGTTACTAATATTCTCTTCAGTGATTGTTGTCTCTCATCTTTGGGTACATGCCCAAACCATTTCAATTGTGTTTTGTCTCATTATCTCCTTGTTTTACTCTTCTTTATAGGTTAAAATCTTCTGATCTTTCTCCTCTGATCTGTATTTTACACTAATATTTTTATATATTTATTTTACTACTTGTATTAGTTTACTCAGAGTTAGTATAAATAGTTGTACTAGTTCCTCCATTGCTGTTTTGTTTCAATGTTTCATTACATATGATCCAGAATCAGTCTATGGATTTCTCACCCATGTATTTTGTCATTTCTGGTTCTATTCCATCTTCTCCTCTAGCTTTCTGCTGGAGGACTTTTTCTTTCTCTATTCTCCATGTCCTGTTATCTTCTTCACTTGAGCTTTATGAGTCATTTGAGAATGGGGATGTCATTCTAATTTCAATTTATAGGTGTAATACTCTCTCCAGACTCTTACCAATTTGGTGTGGTTTATGTTGTATCTTGTTATTTTCATCTTTAAGTCTAATTCTTTTAAAATTTTCCATAATTTGTATCTTGTATGTTCAGCAAAGATTTGTCACTATTAGTGTCGGCTAAAAGTTTGTTCAAACTAGTTATTTTAATGTTGAAAATATATTGAATGTAGTTTTCTTCAAATTGTTTGCTTTACAATATCATCTATATAGTATATCAAGCTGGTCTTTCTTCCTGTTTAAGTTTTTGGTGCTTCTATTAAGTTTCTTGCTTTAGTGGTTTTAAAAGACTATAAATGGTTATTATAAGATGATACTTTAATTTCATAGGAGTAAAATTATGACATTTGTGCGATTTTTGTTGTATGCATTCACTTAATATTGCTTTTCATCGCTATTAGTACAAAACTAACAATTCTGTATATTACATAAAAAATATATAAACAGAAATGTTTCTCTTAAATTCTGAAATGTTTCCATTGAGACATAATTGACAATGAGAAATTTTATATTTGATTGGAAATTTTAATCCTTTCTGAGAAACTTAGGTGCTTCTTAAATGATACTATTGTATACCTGAACAGATTATGTAAAGTCTATTTAGTGAATTAACATATTTTTCGGATTAAGTAAATGACCAATGATTCAACACATAGTACAATAATATATACAATACACCCCAGGAAAGGAAGCTAAAGAAGCACTTGAAAAATAGAAATATTACTGGAATATCTAGGGGAAGTCAATAGAGACCAAGGCTTACCAACTATACAAGAGCTTAAATAATCAGTTGAACCATTATCTGAGGTTGCAGAATCACAAGATCCGTTTGTATCTAATCGTGGCAGCTTCCATACCTTATAAGATTATGACCAATATATAACACCTTGGCATACAGGTTTTGAGTGTTATTATTTAAGAACTGTATTGCTTTTAATGTGAGTGTCTAGATAACTGTATTTGTAAACACATTCAATGGTTTTACTGTATACTATGATTTGCACATCTTCAATTGGTTGTTTGGTGAATACAAGAAATTTAGTTTTTTTCAAATTCATATTAAGAACACTGAGTAAGATGAATACAGGTGAACCAGAATACGAATAGACGTGAACTAGTGTCATCATAATGAGCAATGCACCTTATCATAATACTGAAAAGAATAAAGCACTAATATCCACATCAACAAAGAGTAAAATGATTTTGATAGATAAAGAATTTGATAACATACTTTAAAGTAGTCAACTCTCCTTCCTTTTTTCTCATTCTGTTTCTCTCCGTCTCTCACACACATGCACACATACACAAGTACATTCAATCAACTGCATAAAATATTTTTTATTTTAGCGTTATCCGACTCCGATGAAACTTCTACACGTCCAAGAAGGACTAAAACTAAAAAGCAATGCATTGTAGATGGCTGCCTTACGAATGGATGTCCACCAAATAGTACTCATTGGTAGGTACACATTTATAAATATATTTTATTACTTATTATTATTAGACTGTGCTGTTAGACATTAAGTAATGCAGTATGATGATATTTACACATCACTAGTAATCCGAAAGTAAGCCTTTTTTTCAATTGTTTATAATTATTAAAATTAACGATAAAAATATTTAAAACACATTTCACAATTTGAACGAACATCTAATATATCAATATATATTGTTATGATATGTAAAATCGAGAAAAATATTGGTTTGCTTAAAATATTTCAAAGTTCAAAAAATTAAAATAATTCAGATAAGTCGAATAATAAACTGCAAACATTTCAAAGAATGAAAGTCCTTTATCTTTGGATTACCTATATTGAACAAAACGTAAGATATGCATAAATTATTTTCTTTGTTAAAATATATTTGAGTGACGTGAGGAGCTTAAGTGAAATCTTACGACAATGGAAGCGGGGTTTCCAAATAAATTTATGCAGTAATTAGGACAATAGAATAGATTTTAGAAAGATATGTTTTTGTTAGTTCATAAGAATTGGTAGAAAAAGATTAGTTTGTAAATAATGTTTGGAAATTTTATAATTGTAGGTAAAAATTTGTTTGTGTTATCGAAATGAAGAAATGGGAGATGTATGGCGCGTTTTGATTGGATGAGATTGAAAAAGGTGGGATGGTTGGTTTGAGAATGAGACTTTAGTTAGTTTTTGAAGAAAAAAAGATAGTCAGTTGGTTTCCAAGGGTGCAAGGCGAACGGCCGTTGTTCTCGGGTAGTTTCCCAGAGGTAGGAAGCAGTAGCAGTGAAAGTTTGTAAGTTTTCGTGTAGTTAGTGTATCTGACAGAAGCTCATCCAGTAAAAGATTGTAAGTCATATTTTTCTACTTATATTCCAAGAGTCACTGTTCAGGCCAACGAGAGATTCAGTTTATCGTAAGGAGAAGATATTCCAAGAGTCATGTTTCACTCAGGCCAACGAGAGATTCAGTTTGTCGAGAGGAGAAGAGGCTAAGAATAGATAGTATAGGCTACAAGGAACAAGGATTTGGACCACTCATCATCAGAGAGAGATAGTTTTGTTTTTCTGCAGTTTTTCTTTTATTGATAACACAATTTTTACGATTACTTTAGAAAAGATATAAATGTTTTGATTAGGAGATTTAGAATAATAATTGGGATTTTGAGATTTTAACTAATATTGTTTGTACCATTACTTTTGAAGGTTCACGTACATAGAACAAAATTTTGAGAATCGTTATATGAGATATTGTTTATTGAAAACATTTGAGTGTGAATTTTATTTCATTATTTTTATTTCAATATATAATGTTATATCATATAATATCATAAATATAAAATGGGACATCACAATACACTACACAAAGACAAACAAACACTTTAAAATTTTTGAAGATAGGCGAAGCTACATGGTGTATAGAAGCCGGAGACAGAATCATCCGGCTTCTATACACCATGTAGCTTCGCCTATCTTCAAAAATTTTGAAGTGTTTGTTTGTCTTTGTGTAGTGTATTGTGATGTTCCATTTTATATTTATGACATTCTACTCCTGTCGGATAGGCCGCAATTGACGAAATGCCCCTGAAGATGATTTAGTGATCGAAAGTACTTGGGCAAGATTAAATTAATACTGTACTCTATATTTGCCTTTTCATATTATCAAACTTCATTTATTCGAGCATTCAACCTTATATCAATTTATTGTATTTGTAGCAATATGATTGATGTCATGCATGCCTAGATGAATAACTTCTTCCCAAATAAACACGTTTTGGAAAGTTTTTAAAAGACATACAAACCAAACAAGCATCTGCATTTTAATTGTTACTTAAATATACTTATAATACGAAAAATGGTACTTCATTCTGCCTCAATTATTTCTAAGTAAACACTTAAAAATTAATATACTTTTTTTAAAATCATGAAAATTTTAGACCCTACGAAGAGAATGAAGCCCAAAAAATGCTTTTAAGTATTGGCGAAGCACCTGTCTGTACAGCCATTTGAAAATAACCTTTTTTCTCTCAAATGAGATAAACAAATAGAATTGTTTTAAAACTATTTGACCAATTGGGTCCATCTCTTGTACATATAGTAATAAATAAAAACTCACATTGGGAAATATGGTTTATATATCGTTATTGATTATTTTAATAATTATAAATAATTGAAAAAAGAATGCTTAATTTCGGGTTTAGCTTGCAATAATTTTTTGGTTTATAAACATTTTTAATTCAGAAAATATCATTTTAAAGAAGTATTTTGAAGTTGAAAAATAGCGCCGAGTAATTTTTCGATTTTAAATGCTTCGTTTCCTGGGGTACGAGCTCTCATACACTCAATTCGGGAAAAAATTGCATCAGTAACAGGTATATAACTGATGCAATTTAACTATAAGAGTTTGGGTTTTCCAGAAAGTGATCGATACAATATTATGTAGCCATTAGAAAACTCGTTAAATAGTCACATACATATCTAGTGTTTATGAACGAACTAAATGCAGTAGAATTTGTCTTTCAAAACTCCGTTTTTTTAGTTTGACAAGAGAACGTTTTATTCCTTGGATGAAAGCAATAAAACAATCACCAGAAAATGTTAAAACACCAAAATATGATAGTTATATTTGCCAGAGACATTTCGCTCTTTCTCAACGTGTTGGATGCAACCTAAAACCAAATGCAATTCCCACATTAAATTTACCCTCTCACAGGTAAACAAACACAATTATCGTTGGACGTCATATAGATTTAATACGAGGCCGTCAAGTGCAATAAACACTTTTTATACGAGTTGCATACAATATTTTATCATTGAATGGAAACAGTGATGAAATTTTTCTTCATCACCGAATATGTATTATATATTGCTACTTTTATTGTCTATATTAGTTCTTTATTAAATAAAATACTCAACAGTCTAAAACACACATAAAAAAGCCGAAGAAATAAAATTTAAAAAACGTGTATTTTGTGATTCTTTCGTTTTCTCGCACGCATATACCATTGTGATCCAGTGAATTCTAAATTGTGATGTTAGTAATCTATGTAAGCCTGCAGAATATCTTAATATGACGTACAACGGTATTTTTTTGCGATTAGTATATTTATAGTATATAATATAACCACAAATTTTCTATTCCCCATAAAGTAATTCCAAAGAGTGCACCAAAGAAGAAATCGAGCAAGAATTTTTTCTTGTAAAAGCTATAATCAACGCTGAAAAGAAGGTGGCTGCCAATGAAGTACCATTTATGAATCATTATTATTCCCAGTTAATACTATTTAATGACTTAATACCTACGAAAAAAGAACTTGCCTGGAGGCTAGACCTTCTCGGAATCAAATACAAGGAGGACGAAGAAGTTGACGTTAAAGACACGGTGGTGAGTACAACTATTTCATAAACAAAAAAAAACACTTAGAATTCAACCGCGTTTTCCAAAATTTACTTTTTTTTTCTAATTATTTTAACTGTAGTAAGCGTATTTAAAGTTAGTTTGCTTTTCCATACTATATGCGTTACTTATTTAGTTTTAATTTCTTTAAACTAAAGTAAACTGTCCTGCTATAAAGTTACAGCCACTGTCAATAAAGTGTGTATGAACAGTATAATCTTGTGTCTTTTGTAAACTTTTTAAATGCATTTAAATATACCTTGCCAATAAACAAGCAAAAAGTATGGAAGTAATTACTATTTGATATCTAAGAAATTATTATCACTAGTCCAATTAGTTTTGCTGGAAAATAAAGGGAAATTATAACTTAGGGCCCTGTCTCTGTATTAGTTTTGTTCTTGTACAATTTTTCAAAGATTATTAAAAAAAATCGCAGAGTAATAAATAATTTAAGCATTCAAACCATATCCAGGACAAAACACGAATGCAGGTATTTTTATCCCGTAACAGATGTATAGCAGGGTTTTTTCATTGTTATAAAATAAAGTACAGACTTTTAACACAATAACACTGGCGTGCATTCGGGAATAAATGGAATAATTATTTTTTTTACTGTTACATTGTATGTTTACAATCTACTTTATACACAAAGTAATAAGTAAATAGTCTGTAAGTAAATTAACGTCCAGTGACGGTTCTGTAAGTATTATTTCGGTAGGTCTTTTGGCCATACTCTCTTCAATCTTCTTTCGGCAAGTGGTTGGGTGAATAAATTATTTATCAGTTCGTTGTTGTGATCAGTGGTGCGATTTTTATATTTTATTGAGTAATTCTCTATTTTGAGCTTAAGTAATGGGATGTCCAGATCATTGTGAAGTGTTTGATTGGAGCTTTACTTATCATACACAGTATTTTGGATTGGAATGTTTGAAGTATCTTCGTATTTGAAGGTTTACTACAGCCCCATAGTTCTTTTCCATATGCTCAAACTGGTATGCGCCTTATAGCTTTGTACAGAAGCAGTTTATTTTCAAGAGATAACTGAGACCTTTAGTTAAATAGCCAGAGAATATTTTTTAGTTTAAGATCTAGTTGTTTCCATTTAGTTTTATGTGCGTTGTCCATGTAAGTTTTTCATGCAGATGGAATCCCAACTACTTGGCAACTGGTTTTATAGGAATGGAAGTATTATCAATATAAACTTCTGGATATGTAGATTTTCTTGTAAAAGTAATTTGTACTGATTTGCTATCATTAACACTGATCTTCCATCGCTACTTTTTGTAATGCTACATTAGGGTCGATATCCACTGTCAAGATTCACGTATCATCGGCAAACGTAGCCACGAATGTATCATTACTGGTTGGAACGTCTGCTGTAAATATCAGATACAGAAATGGGTCCAAAACGCTACCCTGAGGTACGCCAGACTGTACCAGATCTGGTAATTTGAGTAGCTGTCTTCAATTTTGACTTGAAAGTAAGATACGATTTTAGTATAAAATAATTAAAATAAATTTTTCGGTTTACTAGTTTATTATAACCATATTTTAAATCTGAATCAAATTCACCGAATCAAAAAATCGTTCTTAATCAAGGATTCAATGAGTCATAAATATTGTATATTTTCCACATATCTATTTCTGTAATACTTGCTTCCAATTGCCTTTATTAGCGTGACTTACTATGTTCCAGCCAACTTTCCACTTGACTCGATTCAGTTCTAATGCTTAAGCTCATAATAAGCTCAATGATAAGGTGAAAATCGAAGTTTTGATATATGCCACGCGACCTCGCTGTTTCTTCCACAAGGTCTTTTTAAATATGTATATTGAAAAGTTCTTTTCTTACAGTATCTTTTGGTATGCTTTTATTTTTGAAAATAATTCACTGACAGAAATCTACTTTTACTTGTTTCTACTATTTCTATTTGGATTCAGGTTTAACAGAAAATTGTTACAAAAACAGTGTGACTTGTACATTTTGAAATCAAGGTCTACCTTCAACGATGGATTCAGGACATCCAATATGCATTAGTTCTTTTTTCTTTATAAGATGGCATATAAGGATTTGATCCCTTGATTACATCCCTTTTGCGAATGTCCGCCTTCCAACTTTAATCTTTTCGTCTTGCCACTATGTATAAACAGTGTATCCTGCACTTGTAAGTAATATATGTGTGTACTTTCTTCCGTGGTTTGTTTATCATTCGAAAATTGTTTCCCAACAAGAAGGATTTTGCTATCGTTTTTAATATTCTGAATCTATTCCGAAAATCCCTTTATTCCACATTATAATGTGATCCTAGAGAATTTTGGATGGTCCCTAGCGTTATAGAGTAAATAGAAGCATGCAGTTTACTAGTGTTTTTAATTAAGGACTCATCAATTTGAATTTATCATCCACCTGGAGAAGATTTGGAGCGTAAAAGGGGTCCAGGCCTGCTTTCTTTGACTGTTTTATATATGTTGTGTTTGCTAATACAAATCTAAGCACCTTTTAATTCCACAGCATAATTAATTATTAATTAATACTAATTAACACCGGGATTAATACTGGCACTCGGATTCTTGTTTTTAGACGATCCCTGGCATATCCTTTATTTTATTTACGTAGCTCAGAATAACGGTTTATTAATACTAATAGCGTGATTAAATAACAAACGTTTTCTACAGCAATCGCTGTATATAACGGGAGTATAAATGTTAATTGTAAATTTATTTTTAAATTGTCAAATATTTTGGAACTAAAACTTATTGGTTTTAATCGCCTTTAATATTAATGGAAACAATTCAGTCCTATTTTTAAGCCCACTAAAATAAGAGGAAGGAAATTTCAGGAATAAACTTGAATTAACACTTCATTTTGCAAGCTAAGAACATTTAGATAAAACATCACTGAATATTTCTTTTAACTTTCTCGTTGGTTTAACTTTTCAAATTAGTTATATTAACCAGATTAATCCAGATAGTTATTAACTTAGCCGTTCTCTAGTTCTTCCTGTCCAGCCAATTTCCAACGTGCAGGTTTCTTTGCATTGCCTCACTGAGTTCCTCCTGCTGTAATTTTGTTAATCCATCGTCGTGAGTCCTCTCTTATGTTCCGATTTGCGAGAATCCTTGATAGTTGAAAAGATTTTTGATCTTTTTAAAGCAACGTGGGTTTTTCGACTTAACTATCACTAACAATTTTTTCTTCACTGAACCTGTTAGCGGCCACTAAAACCGTAATGCGTTTCTTAGCTCTCCACGAACGCACTTTTACGATTTAAATTTTAAAATTCTGTTTGGTATCATTTTAAAGAACAATCCAGTCTCATCAGCATCGAAAATGTCGTCTGCCGTATATAGTGCCTTCAGTTCAGGCCACACGTTTTTTAGCCAATCATCCGTTACGTGTTTGTTAACATCGCAAGCCTCTCCGCTAATCTGCCGTAGTTGATCTTGTGCCGCAGCTTCTACTTGTTCATATGCTTTGAAATTCTCAATTCCAAGCTCAGTTGCAAAAAACTGAGCTTTTGTCCTGACCACATGCCCAGAAAGTGGAATATGGTTCATACGCTGCTTCTGAAACCACATAAGCATAGCGAGATCTAAATCTTCGTGCTGAGGTTTCCGCAATTTTTTCCTACCGCCCTCCATTTCCGCTTCAAGCCACTTTTTTCTGTCCTTCCATATCGTAGCCACATTGAGACAGCCCCGTATGGCGAATGACATCCGATTGCTTTTGATCTTTCTCTACTGCCCGAGTTTTCGATAATAATGCTTAATGTTAGACTATGATGTAATATCCAACTGCTAATGATATTATCTGCTTATGGACAAAAAATCAAAGTGTCCGGGAATATTGTCTTACTTATATTTTTAGATCTGAGTTTCACAATTTGTTTTTAATCTAATGCCGTGTTTTCTAATTAGGTGGATGTTTGCTCAAAACAATCCGAGCCGATTTTTATTGAAACGCCTACTTACCTTGAGACAACATTGATCGACGAAGTCGATGACGAATTCGTCGAAGACGTACCAGCATTTATATCAGCAAGTAATCTATTAGAACTTATGAAAGAAGAAATCACCAATCCTAATGAAAACACATTAGAAAATGATGACGATAATCCTGACGATCCTGATGAGTTTAATGATGATGATAATGATCCTGACTATGAATGTAGTAACGATGATGAGGAGGAGGAGGATGATGATAATGATGCTGATTATGTACCTGAAACACCATCGGGCAAAAAAAGAGGGCCGAAAATAAACAATGCTATAAAAAAAGAATTCAATAATTCGATTAAAGAAGAATTAAAATCTGAACTTAAAGGGATTAAAGGAGAATTCAAGCTAAAAGGAGAACCCAATCGCTCAGGTGGGAAAATAAAAATCGATCAAAAAGTTTTTGAAAATAAATCAACAATCAATGGATGCGCTAAAAAAGAAGAGCCAGTATGTAAAGAGGAAAAGATAGAAGAGAAGATAGATTCACAAGTTAAAAATATTATTACTAAAATAGATTCCGTAGTTCGTAAAATGGGAAAATCGCCAACATTAAGCCATTATTGCGATCAAGTAAAACGCTTGTCCCAGGCAAGTATTTCCAAATCGATGCTTAAACGTTACCTTACGGAACTAAACGTTATATTTGTAGACGACGAAGAACCAGAAAGTGAAATATATTTTGTTAATGAAGCCGGTAACACATCAAGTACAGAATTAATGATAATATCTGAAATAAGAAATATAGAAAATAGACTTAAATACATTGGAAAAATTCCCGAGCTGAAATATTTTTATGAGGAATTAAATAAACAACTTCTTAGTAAAAAACAAACAGACGTGATTTTCTCTCAACAAACCGTACTGGATTGGCTTAATGAGTTAAATATTCAATGTCAAGAAAACTTAAGCAATTATCCCAGTATAGACTATTTCCATGCAGAATTGGAATCAAAAGGATACGAATGTCCAGAGTCAAATATTGCCATGATGTTAAAGCAGAAGAAAATAAAATTCCGGGAAATAGGTGATCTAGAACCACCAACAAAATACTTAAATAACAAAGACCAGATCGAAAGAGCTTTGTACGATATTAACACACACTTTTATAAAAACGTGGTAGGGTATAACGACGATATTAAATATGTAGATTTGAGAGACGCACATCCAAAGAAGGATGTCACCAAAGCTATTGCCGCTAGTGAGTATTACTTCTACAGTGTCCAAACAGTTCCTACTGACAGCGATTTTTATAAACGACTTGTCAGCCGATTTGGTGAATCTATTTGTAGTATAAATGTTATGACGCAGTGGTTAAATCAACTCGGTATAGGACAAAGAAATCAACGTTGTTTTAAAGACATTCCAAATCTGGACTATTTTTGTGAAAAATTATTTAAGAAGAATTCCGTTAGATATAGCAAACACGTTGTTCGAAAATGGTTAATTGAATCAGCAATTGTTTTTGAATACGAAGACCTTGACCCGTTAGAAAGTCAAGACAATGACCAAGCCAATTTCGCTGGTTTGACGGAATATTTAAAAAAACTAAATGCGGATTACTACAAAATAGATGGTGAAATTATACAGATCATCAGAAATATTGAAAGAGGAGATGGTAGGGTTAAGTTAACACCTCCTTTTAGTAAACTTTATGAAGCATTGTGCCAAGCAAGAGGCGATTTAAGCGTAGACACTGTAGAGGTTTGGTTAAAGCGTTTGATGGTGAAATATGTACCAGATCATCCAAAACTAACAACATTAAATAAAACGCTTCATTATCCGTGTCTTATTCCCCCTCTAGACTATTTTTATGAAAAACTAGTCGATAAATTGGGTACTACATTTCCAAAAAAGACTCTTGCAAAATGGTTGGATCAGTTGACTATATTATATTATCCAAGCGACTTAAGCGACGATCCAAACGTACAAGATATTGCTTTAAATACGGATATAGTTAAAATACTAATAGAACTGGAAAGCGAACATGAATCATTCTCAGATGTATCTATCAGCGATATTTTAAGATCAGTTCAGATCAATTTTGCAGAATATAAGAAAGTTCCAACCCTAGATTACATTTATAAACATGTGCAATCGTCTAAAATATTTTGTACAAAAAAATCACAGTTTTCAGATTGCAAAGATATATTAAAACATTGGTTAAAAATATTACGTATTGTTTACACGGATCTAGATGACCGAATCAAGAAAGACATTACTTGTATTTCAAATTAACTCCTTCGACTGTAGTCACAAATATACCCAACAAAGAATCTGTAATTATAAAGACTGACCAAAAGCAAGTAAATATATCAAACATTATTCCACCAAAAATTTGTAACGATATTAGACCTAAAATAATAAAAGTAGCCGATTTAAGTGTGTTACAAAATGATAAAAAGGTTAACCAAATTGAAACTGTACCACATACTCAGCCTCAAAAGGTAGCAAATCCAACATTAAATAGTAACGGGACCAATAGTCCAATAGCACTAAAACCAACGACGACAGTAGACAGTGACCGTTCCAGTCCACAACTAATAATAGCAGATATAAGAAGTTTAAGTCCCGCGGTGCCTCCACCAACAGGTAAAGAAATTCTAGATAAAACATCTAAAGAAAATGTTTCGTTGAAAATGTCAAACAAGAAAAAAGTGAATAACATGATGATATTTCCGCGTGAAGTAAAGATATTATTACGCGAAGGTTTTTTTAAAACAATTGCAACCGAATTTCAATCTCGGAATGAAGTACCCACTCTAGATTACATATATACAAAATTAAAAGAGAAATGTTATTATTTCAGCAAATCATACCTTCAAAAATTATTAACAAATTTAAATATATCATTTTCTGACACCGATTCAAATGGATCACAAACATTACAACCAGCAGATAAGAATTCAGATGAGAGTCAAGAAAAGTGTACAGTTTCAGAGAGTATTGATAAACGAAAAAGTTCTGTAACAGTTAATACTAAGACGAATACCACACCCAAACGAAAAGTAGGACGACCACCGAAAAAAGCTACCCCAATCTCGGAAACGATAAAAACACTTCCTGTAAAAACAGTTCCTGTAATCGAAATTGACGATTCCGATGATGATACAGACAGTGTTGCTAAAAAGAAACGTAAATTAGACAGTAAAAACCCACCAGACGTTATAGAAATTAGAGACGAAGAACTCGAAGTAACTGAAGATGGTACAAATGAAGAAAATGATCAGAAAAAATTGGCGGAAATTTTTTCGGAAGTTCAATTAGAATTTTTCAAGAATTCCGATGTTCCCCGTTGTATCGATATCTATAAAAAAGTAATCGAACACTTTGGAGATAAGTACAGTTTGCCAGAAGTAAAAGATATGTTGAAGAAATACGGTATTGAGGTCAAAAACTAACACCGGTAAGTAATCATCACTTTTAATATTAGTTTTATTCTGAACATTTTCAGTAGTAGGCCATGATTATTTTTAGATTTTTCAAAATGGCCTAAATACTTCTAAACATTTTTATTGTTCTTCCTCATTGGTTTAAATCATTTGAAATCAGGTCTCAATAACAGGTGTGGCTATTAGATAGCAACTGAGGCTGCTGTATAAAGATTTAAACAAACACTTATAGACGGTAGTCATTCTTTCGCGTTAGTTATTTTTTTAGAATTCCAATGAATATTTTTAGCATGAATATGTTTCCGAGTAGTTTAAATGTTTATGAATATCCACTTGCTATAAAATAATTGTTTTTGTAAATTATTTATTAACACACTTACGACATATTTCACGTTCACCAAGCTTACCTAATTGAAATCAGTTTGTTAGATATAAATTAGACATTTTGCATTTGAAGTGGATCACTTCCGCAATACTTTGTAACAAGTAATGTAGTTGTATTACCAATAAACGTATCCTTTCAACAATGTGTTAAATCTTCCGAAATAGTAAATTAAAGAAGTTTAAGTTCACAATTGCCTCAGATGTCTCCATACCCTATTACCAACATCATATGTTTTTGAGATGGCCAGCAAAACGTTGAAGATGATCCATGATGATGAAGTCTGGTTCGATTTTATCATGATGTGTCGACTTATTCCTCATTGTCTCCCAAGAAAAATGGTCAACTTTATTCACTGGATCTTGTGCCGTGCGAATTCTATGTATTTCCTAAAGTAAAATCAGAATTACCAGGAACAAGATTTGAATCTGTTGAAAGGGCTTGCCTCCTTAACGAACTACCAAATAAAGACTTAGAGCACTGTTCTCAATGTTTTTAAATATTTTACAGCAAGTGTCTCGTTATTTAATAGCCGCATCGTATGTGTTTTTATAGATAAATTTATGTACAGTTAACCCATGGCTCCTCGAATTGAAACATGGACAATGTACTTTAGAGAACAATGAAATATGTAGGCAAATTTTACTATCGAAAAAAATTGATAATAGAAGTCAGCTATGTTTACGATATTTTTCTAATTTTGATAGTTTTCAATAACTCACGAACGGCATTTGCTCTATTTCTTCGTTAGTCTGCATATCACTTTCCAGGGCATTCTAAGCATTCTTCTATGCAACTACATCTCAAACGCATCTAGGTGATTGATTGTACCAGCCTTCAGAGTCCACATCTCGGTGCCATGTAACAACACTGACCAAATATAGCATTTGATCATTCTTTGTCGTAATTTTAGGTTTAAGATATATAAACAAAATGATTTAATTTATCGTCGATATTGATTCATTGCAAGTCTGTAAATAAATTGTATTTTGTCCATATTATAATATCTTTATGAACATCACGTTCTATAAAATAATTTATAGGTTTTACACCTTGCCCTTCCGTTTATTAGATCTGTTGGTCATCTTTTCGTAAATTTTTCTCATGCTCATGGTATCAGTTGTGGCATGGACATGGTTTGTTAATTCTTTATGATATATTGTACTTTAATTTCCTTTACGATTGACGTCTTCAGAGCTTCTATCATCCGAATTACCTTGAATAACTTTTTTGGATTTTTTATATATAGAGTACGAAGCAACAGGTTACGTTGAGAAAAAGTGTTGTGAGTAGGTAAATAGCGGAATTGTGCGTGTAGCAAAACCATCGAAGAGATGATATAAAAGCTAAACAACGATTTTAGAAAGGGCTGGGACAACATAATAAATAGGACAAAGTTCTACTGCGAGAGCATAAATGAAGTAGAACATATTTCTAGGTTGTTTTGGTGAATAGACGAAATTATTTTATTAATTATATAAAACTGTATAATTAAAAATTGTATATGTAAATATCTGGATATTCAGTATTAATATCTGAAATTCTGATTCTAATTTTGTTTTTAGGTAATTTTCCGATGAAAAACGTTAAGTACGAGCCCAATTATACTGCTAAAATACTATTGTACATATATTTTTATTTGTGATTTTGTTAATAGAAATAAAAAATTAAGTTTTTTATTTAATCTTGTTTTAATAATTTCAGTGTCATTATCCTTGGCTCTAAAAACTATTGTGAAACTTAACCCATTCCAGGATATTTCCATTGCTTCCTATTATTTACATCTTAGATTTTTTCGAACGTTCTTAGATTTTTTTGATAAGGTCTTAAAATACCTTCGATTCCCTTCAGCTTTTTTTATAAGAGTTTGGCATTTCATTCTTCACCTTAACCTTTTGTCAGGACAACTTGGGGTGAGTCTTAGCCGCGTCCACTATCATCCTTTATCTTCTACGATCTTGGGCTTCCATTTTCCCATCGTTGTACCCAAATCCTAGACAAATCTGCTTCATGATCCTTCAATCTTTTTCTGGGACAGCTTACTGATCTACCACCTGGTCTCTCAAAAAATACTATTTTAATATTCTGTTGTCCTGTGTCTGATCACATCATCATCATCATCAACTAGCCTCTAACGTCCACTGCTGAACATAGGCCTCTCGCATGCTTTTCCACTTAGTCCGATTTTGCGCCATCTGAATCCAATTTGTAGTCACTCTTTTTATGTCATCTGTCCATCTCGTTGGGGGTCGACCTCTATTTCTGTACATGATCTGCCCATATTATAGGTAAACTTGATGTTTGATTATGTTTTCACTACCGTTTAACGTTTCAATCAACCAATTGAACGTGACACGAAGCTCCGCTTTGTACTTGTCCCCCATACTATATTATTCCAAAGCGACCTCACTACATTATAAATATTTTTAGTAGCCGTTCCACTCTATATAAGCCAAGACGAATTTTTATTCGCCCTTTTCAATCTTAACGCTACAATCATTCTTAATGCATTTATAGTCACAAATTGGTTAGTGTCTTGGCCGTATACACGGGTAAGTATCTTTTTCTAATTTTAGGCATCTATTTTTTACTTTTGCATATAGTCTGACAATTTTTAATTAAAGGTGACTAATCTACAAGTTGAACTAAACGGCAGCGGCAACCATGAAAAATTTCATTAGTTCATTCTTACCGGGGTCATTTTTATTGTGTATGCTTCGCCCATGTAAATATGTAAATTTGTAACCCATGTAAGATAAATTTGCCCCCGTAACAATATAAATTTGTGCGATTTACGAGTGTGTAGTGAGACAAGTTCATAGAATAGTTTGGAACATCGGTAAAATTATCAATATTTTGCTGGTCTATATATATTTACGTTTTTAGAAAGAATGTTAATTAGAGAAATATGATATCTTAGTTTATTGAAGTTTATGAAACATGATATCTTCTAGATTTTATTCATATGTACATGGCGTAGTGTATTATTGGGAATATATTTATTAAATATACTTTATTATTAACTTCAAAATAGTTTTGAGGTAAGTAAAGTAAATTTAAGGCCAGTTTATTCTTAATATAGTATTAAACCCTTAACGGCCGCTCAATATACAAAGAGAAATTTGACAATTAATTTATTAGATTGGATTAAAAACACAAATTAGGAATAAATTACAACCAAAAAGATTTTTTTTCTTATTTTTAAGGAAAACAATACAATTTTTAATTTAGGAACTATCTTTAGGTATCTTAAACGTAAATTAAATTTTAAGGTAAAAATTTTCGAAATATTCGGGGTGTAGATGCATTCTGCACTTTTTACATAAATAAATAGTATTACTTTTGTACATCCTACATTTTTGCACTATCATCTCTTTTTATAATGTGGCCAATATTGTCGAATCTGGTTTCATCTGGTAAAGCAAATTTAGATTGACGTCCATGTACTGACATTGAAGTAGCGGTTTCTTCACTATTATAAATTAAAATTATAAATCTATGTCGGCTGATGCTTTCTCTTATAATATGCACTTCTTTATCCTCATCCTTTGACCAATGCATATCAACTTGAAGCAGAGTGTAAACCAGATAATATACATATGCTAATAATTTTTTTAAATCTATGTTATTCATTTCAAAATTGTGACGGTTATTCTCAATTACTTTTTTTATCAAAAAGAGTGAAAAAAACCTCAATATATGGCTTGCCTACATGGTTGGCTTTTATATTGTCTAAATATCAATCAGACTGATGTTGAATTACCACTGAGCACGAAAGAATATCCGTTATTACAACTTGAGATAAATTTGGATTTTTGCCTGGTTTTTTCTTTGGACGTTTTATCTGTGGTTCAGAGGAATATCATAATCAGAATCGTTAGAATTCCCAATCACTTGTATTTCATATGTACCTGCAATTTCCGATTTTATTGATTCTTAATATACCAGCAAACGAATGGGAAAGATACCTGACGGAACTGTTTAAAGCAAAGGAAAATAATAATCAACACAATAACGTACCTGAACTAAGAGACGAAATAGAAATCAGTTTTCACGAAGTAGAAATAGTCATAAATTCACTCAAAAATAGAAAGTCACCAGGACCAGACGGAATAACCAACGAGCTTCTAAAATACGGATGAGAAAGTTTAACCCTAGAGATGACAAAACTTATACAAAAACTAATATTGCACTACAAGATACCAGACGCATGGAGAAACAGCATAATGATACCAATGGTCAAGAAAGGAGATAAAGAAGACCCCAACAATTATAGAGGTATAAAACTACTGAACACCGCAATTAAGCTTACCACAAAAGTCCCAACCAACAAAATCAATAAACTAACAACTTTATCAGATGAACAACAAGGATTCAGATCCGGATGATCCTGCGTAGACGCCGTATTTGTACTAAGACAAATCACAGAAAAGGCCATCATATCTATGTTTTATAGACCTGACAAAGGCTTTCGATCGCATCCAAGTCGAAGACGTCTTACACCTACTGTATAAAAGGAACATACCAATCAATATTATACAAACCATCGAAAGCATCTACCTCCATAATCGAATACAGGCAAAGATAAATGGAAAACTAACACAGTGTATACTAGTACAAAGCGGAGTCAGACAGGGTGACTTAATATAATAGTCACCATTAATAAGGAATATATTAATGGACGAAATAATACAAGCAGTACGTAAAAGTCATGGCTACAGACTTGGGAACAAAGAAATCCAAATATTATGTTACGCAGACGACGCCGCATTAATCACCGAGACAGAAGACGAGCTCTAAAGATTAACACATATCTTCAATACAACAGCTAAGAAATACAATATGATAATATTAGCGGAAAAATACAAATGTATGACATTTAAATACCCACTACGGTGTAAAATCGAAATTTATGGGAAAATAATAAATCCGGAAGCAAGGGTTAGATATCTGGGAATAGATATAACTAGTTACGGAGATGTTAAAGAAGAAGTACGACAGCAAAGCTTAAAAGCAAGTAAAGCGGCGGGTTCTCTTAATGACACAATCTGGAAGAACAAACACCTAAGACAAGACACAAAAACAAGAGTCTATAAAGCAGGAATTAGACCTATATTAACATACACGGCTGGCACAAGACCTGACACATCTAAAACAAGACGACTGCTAGAAACAACAGAGATGAAAATACTACGACGAATATCAAGGGGAAGTCTGTTGGATAGGAAGAGAAGCAAAAACATAAGAAGAGCATGCAATATAGAAGACATAAATGGATGGGTGACAAAACGAAAACAAAAGTGGAACAAACACATCAGTAGAATGGCGGAGGATAGAATAGTATGAATAGCACGAGATAAGTCACCAAATGGACGAAGAAGTATTGGCAGACCAAGAAAAAGATGGTGCGACAATTTAAACAATTTCGGAAGCTAATATTGAAGAGTCCACATGCTTTAAAGCCTACAAACTAGAAGGAAGAAGATCAATGTCTTCTACATCAGAATCTAATCTCCGCGGCAAATATACCACTTTAAGTGGCATTTTCACAATCTGAGTCTTCTTCTAACAAAGCTATTAACTCTTTAGTAGTTAGTGCCATCTTCATTTCATATTTCGAGAATTTACTGAAATAAACAAATGCACTGCTATATAAACGCATTCATATGATAATAGTTTAGCTTACTTCATTTTAATTTATATGAACTTCATAATATATTTTCATATTTATATAAACAAATAAACACAAACTTTCAAATTAATTAAAAAAAAAAACAAATATAACATTACAGCACACAGCAATTCTATAAATAGAGAAAGATGTGTAATGATGTGTAATTAAAATTGCAGATTGTTTTTAGTCTAATGAAAAAAACATTATTTTCCAAAATTTTCTGTTTTTTGAAGTTCTGTATTAGATACTCTCTAATAAGTATAAACTTTTATTTTATTTTGTTAGACAACTGTAAGATACCTGTTAAAAGAGACATGATAATTTAATAATTAAATCGGTCTTAGATTTAATTTTTACGTAATTACTTATGTGTTTAAATAAATAATTAAATTTTTTTTTGGTACGTCTCTGCAAAATTGATAATTTCAATACAATTTCGTTGAAAAGTTATCGTTAAGGGCTTCGTTAAGTACGATGTTGCCAAGTAATCACCTTCAATTAAAAACTGTTTTAGTATAGCAGATATTTTCTTTCTTAAAATAAAGCTGAAAACATTTTAACTTTATTTTTTTTACTGTATATATGTACCTATATTACCTTATTTCCCTTAATATCTTAGTAATAAAAACCTTTTCCTACAAACTTATTTTTATTAATGCCACGCTCTGATCAGAGATTTTGCTGATATCGTTTCTCTCTGAATACTCAGCTTTATTTCTGATCAGGCATTTCTTTTGGGAGAAAACTGATCTTTGTTTGAATGTTGTAGCCACTACCGTGGGAAGCAAGAAATAGACATCCACACTACCGTGGGAGCAAGAAAACAGCCAACCACAATACCTTGGGCAACAATCGGCAACCACCTACAAATCCACTGATGCATCAGAACAGAATTTGAAGTCCATTTACATGGGAGGAAAATGATTGCCATTCAGCCCTATTCTGTAACTACAAATCGAATAGAAATGAGTCAAATCGAGTAGAAGTCAGCAAGTCGGATCGGAA